TTCCGGCAGGGGCGGGACAGTGCGTCACCTCCAGGGAGGACCTGGCCTGGCGCTCCCCTGGACGCTCCACAGCACAGGTAGAGGCTCCCAGTAAACACCCCGTGACCCGCGGGGCCTGAGGACACATCGCCAGAGTCAATGACGGCATCAGCAGAGCACCACCCGCCAGCTGTCGCTATGCACCAAGCCTTGCACCGCCCCCATGAGTAGGATGACAAACGCAGAGCAAGTGCGCGTGTCAGCCCTGGGCGGTAGGGCCTGGCATCCCCACCTGCACACACACAGGTGCTGTAGGTTCCGTATTGCTTTTAGCCATAGGCCACCCTGCAGTGAAGTCTGTGGAGACCACGTTACTCACCAGTTGACCTCGTCAACAGAAGGTCTCTCCACCCAGCAAGTGCCAACAAAAGTCCCCAGTCTGGGGTGCAGTACAAGGGGAGACTTTATTCAGGTGAACAGTTTGCCAACTGAGGAGGCACAGCCGCTGAAGGAAACCAAAGATGTGCTCCTCCAGACCAAGGCGACAGCCCTTATCTAAAGTTCCTGCCCAGCCCCTGAAAGGTCCACTTTTATGCAAATGAAGAATCCAAATTTGCTCAATTTGATTGGTTCAAATATCAGAATCATGTGTTCTCATTGGTTGTTATGGATACACTCTGATTGGTTGGTAAAAATGCAAACGATGATGTAGCTGTGCAGCTCCCATTTGACAGGAATACAATTCGAGGAGTTCTTTATTAGGGTGGGCTCAGATGGCAGGAGTCCAGTGCAGGAGTCTGGTGGGTTCCCTCATATGGAGCATGTGTGAGAGGCCTCTGTTAGCAATGGTTGCAAGACTCCGGAATATCTACAAGGAGTCCTTCTGCAGGTCCACACCCTGGTCTTCTACTTTAGAGACCTGATTAAGGCCATCAGCATGGATTTCTACAATTTTTGCCCAATCATCTCAACCAAACCCCACGAATTACCTACATCCACACCCAAGCTCACCAGTTCCTTCTTTCTTCAGCCTGCGCAGCCCTTCTCTTCCCCAAAGTGACACTCTTCACTGTCTGCTCTCTCCTGTGGCCCCTCCTTGGCATATCGTTAACCCCACCTTTTCTATTGGCTACAATTCCTTGGCACAATGGCTGTTTCAATATTTTCTACCTTAAATTTTCCCTTGACTTTAAAATCTCTTTCTAGTTCTCTCTCTTCTTCCATCATAACTAAACTTGTGAAAGAATCATGAACCAAGAATGGCATTGACACTCCCTGAGTTTTTGTAGGATTCAGTATTCATCTCTTGATTGAATGAACACACATTCTCTTTCTAATCATTGTAGCCTCGAAATTGCTGAATGTGAGGCACACTGTACCTAAGATGATTATTCTGAAATATTCATCTGAACGTGTCACTCCACTGCTTAAAATCTTTCATTGGCTCTTTAGAGCTTTCAAGACAAAGAGTAACATGATATTCAGGCCTCTATGCTTGAATGTCCAGTCACTCCTTTAAAAAATGCTTCAGAGCCCCTGATGGTGCTCACTGATCTCTGCTTTTCCAGTACTGTTTCCTTTAATCTTTCCCTCACCTTTTCCTCACCTGTCCAGCCCCTTTAAAAATAAGTTGAAGAACATGCTTACAGGTGCCCTCCTAGACATTGCATGCACATGCCCAATAAAGGGCTGCAGTCTGTCTCCTGGGTGCATACAGGTTTCTTTCCACTCCCTGCTCTACTCACCCTCGCTCAGCTCTCCCAAGGCCACAGTTTCCCCCTCTACTCAGCTCCATTCAGAAGCTCCTAGTACTTACGTAGGCCCCTAAGTCGGCAATTAAAATTGAACCAGCCTTTTGTTATTACATATTTCTTTGGTTTCAAAAGAACATTGCTATAAATAAATGTATTTTCATAAATCACTGTCCATAGTTATTGTCATAGTTTAAATCCTTAAAAAATAATCAAAGATGTGAACAATTTTTGTCAAGTTGCCTTCCAGAAAGGACATAGGCTTAGATATCCCATTGCCTGGGATCCAAACGCAAAAATGCCACAAAGGGCCACATTCAGGTTTTCATGGACCCTGGATGCTATTACCTTTGTGGGCCTCTTCCTCATAAAATAATGTTAAAAATTATATTTATAACTGCATTGAGATGAAGATGAACATTTTAGTATTACATATGAAACAAGGTTTTCTTCAACCTAAACTTTAACTTCCCATTTTAAAAGAAACAAAAACAGCTTTAATGGGCTCCTAAAAGTACGGTAACAATGATTTGAAGTAACTCTTGATGAAAGTGAAAGAAGGAAGTACCAAAGCAGAACTGCTTTTGAACATCAAAAAGACAAAACATCATGACTACAGAAGAAATACCCAACTTTTATATAAACAGTGAAGACACCAAATTGTTAAGATTTTGCTGACTTTGGCTGACTCATCAATTCCAGTGGAGACTCAGCCAAGAAATCCAGAGAAGGCTGAGACTCAAGAGGGCAGCAATGGAAGAATCAGGAAAGATCACTGAGAGCATGGATGTGTCGTTAGAGACCAAGCTAAGATCATCCACATCCTCGTCTTCCCAACTACTAAGTATGGATATGAAAGTTGAATAGTGAAGAAGGCAGAAAGGGGAAAATGGATTCCTTTTCATATGGTGTTGGAGAGAGCTTTATGAATACCTTGGGTCACCAGGAAGATGAACAAACTGGTCCTAGAAAATCAAGTCTGAAATATCACTGGAGGCAAAAATGATAAAACTGAAGCTGTCCTTCTTTGGACACATCTTGAGAAGGTAGGGTTGTCTGGAAAAGACAACAATGCTGGGAAAAATAGAAGGCAGCAAGATAAGAGGAAGACCAAATATGAGATGGATTGACTCCATGGAAGAAACCATAGGCATGAGTCCAAAGGAGCTGAGTAGGGCTGTTGGGAACAGGACATTGTGGGCATTATTCATAGGTTTGCCAGGAGTCGGAGACAACTCAACAGCACATAACACACAAAAGTATATGCGCCCAAGGCACTGTGCCTACTGTGACAGTTGGATAAGTCAACCCTACTGCTTCCTACAAGCTATGAGAATAGGCCAAATGCTTTACCTTGACTGTGCCTTCCCAGAAAACTAGTATGATGACACCATATGATGTGGTAGTAAAAAGTAAATACTTAGAATCATATGGCACATAATAAATTAGTGTTGCTCTATTGTTGTTATGAATTCCCCTAGCACTCTATGAGAGTATATGATTGTCCTTCACTGTGCCAAGGTTGTCGAACAAACTCAGAAGGAATCTGGAGGCTGTGCTAGAAATAAGTGATGGAGATTTATTCAAGGATCTTGGAGTTTGCAACCTGGAAACAAAGCGAGGCAAAATCCCAGAAGTGTTCCAAAGATGAAAAAGTAGTGAAAATTTCTTACAGCAAAAAGCACTTTGTTGAGAACTGTCAGTCCTGCGTGCATAGCCCTAGGGTTGGTCCAGGACAGTGATCAGTCAGATGGCAAGAGGCAGGGTGATGGGTGCCAGGAGCTCTGGTCAGTCCCTGTGGTCTGAATAATGGATGTGGGGTGGATGTGAATATGAGTCTTCCAGGGGATCAGGTGGCCTATAAAGGTGAGCCTTTCAGGGGGTAGTTAGAGGGCTACCTGGAGGTCCAGGTATGTCCAGGCATTGACATAGGACTGGAAAGTTCAAAAAAGTTTGTTTCCAGGTCAGTTAGAACAAGAATGGTCTCTCCTCATGTCTCAACCTTCCTCCTGTTAGTTGTAGCAGCTTGGTTAAAGTGACTCCATTGTATATACTCCCTGTCTTCATTCCTAACTCAAAGTCATCATGGTACATTTCTTATGGGCAAGTATGGAATCCTGTTGTTGGTTCATTGTCCATTTTCTTACTGGGATATTCACATAAGG